CAAAAACAAAAACAAAAACAAAAACAAAAACGACCACCCCAGACTCTAGCTAGTAATGCTGGATCATGCCTATAATCCCAGTGCATGGGAGGTGGATATAAGAAGATCAGGAGTTCCAGATCAACTTCGGCTACAACATTGAGTTTGAAGTAAATCTGTGCTACCTGATATCCCATTTTCTTAAAACAACCAACCAAGCAATAAACCAACCAGCCAATCTAATCAACCCAAATTTCTTCCACCAAAATAGATTCAACAAAAATTGCAGAATAAAAAATCAATACACAAGACAGTTGGAACAACCCAAAATGGAAAGTAAGAAAACAACTCTGTAGCTAGAGTTTTCCTGCCTGGCTCACAGTCAGGAAGAATCTCTGTCACCTGCCAGTCCTACAGCCGCTCAGACCCAACCAAGTAAACACAGAGACTTATATTGCTTACAAACTGTATGGCTGTGGCAGGATTCTTGTTAACTGTTCTTATATCTTAAATTAATCCATTTCTATAAATCTATAACTTGCCAAGTGGCTCGTGGCTTACCAGCATCTTCACATGCTGCTTGTCATGGCGGTGACTGGCAGTGTCTCCCTCCACATTCCTGTTCTCTCACTTCTCCTATCTGTTAGTCCCATCTATACTTCCTGTCTGGCTAATGGCCAATCAGTGTTTTATTTATTGACCAATCAGCAACACATTTGACATAAAGACCATCCCACAGCACAACTCATTGAATAGTATCATCAAAAGGAGCAAAGAACTTAGAAACCCTAGCAAGAAGGCAAAGACACATACAGCAGACTACAGAGCATTGCTGGAAGAAGTTAAAGAAGAAACAAATACATAGAGATACAGACTATGTTTATAGACAGAATTTTTAATATCGTTGAGTTATCAATACTACCCAAACTGAGCTACAGATCAAATGCCACCCTTGTAAAAATTCCAGTGGTATATTTTGGCAGAAATAGAGAATTCATCCTAAAATACAAATCTCAAGGAACTGGGGATAGTCAAAATGATCTTGAAAACTTGGATGTCTCATTTTTTCTAATACCCAAATTTACAACAAATTACAGTAGGAAAAATATTGTCATACTTGTCTAACATGCATGAGGCCCTGGGTTCAGTCCCACTACAAAAAATGAAAAGTGAAAAAAAAAGCATTGTGTGGTATTGACAACATAAACAGATGTATATAACAGAATATGAGAGGTCAGAAACAAACTCTCCCTTATCTGCTTGGATGCTTTTTGACAAGGCAGCCAATGCCATTCCATGGGAAAGGATGGGCATTTCAACAACTGTGCTGGAAAAACCATCTCCACATGCAAAACAGTAAAAATGGATCTTAGCTTTCACTGTAAATAAAACTCAAATGACCAAAGAGCTAAATGTAAGATCTTTGCCCACTAGAGTCTTAGAGGAAACCATAAGGGAAAAGCTTCATGACATTAAATTAGTAAGACTACCTTGGATATGATTCCATATTTATAGTCATAGAAGTGAATAGAGATAAATTGGACAACAGAGACATTAAAAACTACTATGTAAGGAACCAGGACCCTATAGATGAGTGAACCATGGAATTGGAAAAAATATTTCCAAATCAGATAAAAAGTTAATGGCTAGAATATATAAAAAGCTGCTACAAGAAAGAACAAAGGCAACAATAAAAACCCTCACAAATAACCTGACTGAAAACTAAGCAAAAGACTTGAGAACACAAAGTAAATCAGCCACTAAATGAGAAGTGCTGTATGCTTCCACTTACATGAAATACCTAAAGTACTTCATAGAAACAGCAAGTACAAAGTTGGTTGCCAGGGACTGCAGAGGGAGGAAAATATGGGGAGTTGTTAGCTAACTGTTAGAGCTTCTGTTTTCCAAGATAAAATGAGTCCTGGAAATTAGGTGCATACTGAGTGAATGTAATTAACAGCAGTGAACTGTTCACTTAAAACTGGTGATTGATAAATGCTGTATGAGGTATATATTAGTATAATCCCCAAACCTCCTGAAATATGGTTGTCCGCACAGGTTTTGGAAAGTGCTGTGATCATGTAGCAATGAGGAAATAAGAACAGAAGGGAATGAGGACACAGAGACAGTAAAGAGCAAATGTAAGGACAGGTGGCCTTGGGGTTCTGGTGAGGCTGGGGTGTTTGTGGAACATGGAATGGTGCCGGTGGTCATCGGAAACTGGGATCCCAGACTGTGACCCCAGGGAAGGAGAGAAAGGGATGATTAGTGGTAGCAAGATTGAAGTAATGAAGGGACAAACCTAGAGTTCATGAGCAGAGCTATGTACAAGAGTAAAGTGAAAACAGAAACACCAGAGCTACCCTTCTGCCCTCATCTCCATACGTTCCAACAACTGAACAAATATAAAGGGCTACAGATGTGTACTGCCCTATCCTGGACCAGAACAAGCGGATTGTGGGAAACAGTATTCTAGAGGGTACCAGGGCAAGAAGTGCTTAGGAGAGAGCCAGATTCCAGACAGAGGTAAAGGGGAAGGTACTATCTGGAGAAGTATGATTCGAGATGGGTGGTTTGAAAGAGACCAAATGTCTAGAGGCTGAAGACTCCATGAATTTTATGACCAAGCCTTGAACAGATGGAAGCACCTTTAATTAAATGTGTACACTTTTATAGTATCTATCATATTGTAAAAACTGGGCTGGGGAAAGCTGAATAAGATACCTTTATACACCAGAAGCTCAAAGAAGTGTTAATCAAATAGGGGTCTGGAAAACATAAAATAACATTAGAATCTTTTGAAAACTCTGAATTAGAGCTACTGTGTGGTACATAATAGGTATTGTGTCTGATGAATGAACACATTGAACTCTTGTAATCTTAAGACTCTTATATTTTTAATGGGCTAGGCTATTCTTATTTTCAAGTTGTGGATAAGCATTTGAATAACCAATTCTACACAAAGGCATTAAGAAGAATGAATAGTGCATGTGAAGGGATCTGATAAAGTTTAAAATATTGTATACCTATGAGAACACAACTCCAAATATAAACTGACTGCATCACAAATCATGAGCCTGGAAATGTGCCTTTTTAAAAAGTGGAATTATTTATTGGACCGCAATGTTAATATCACAGTTAGCACAAATGACATTAGGCGAGTTGAGAAAGGAGATGCTCCATGCTGAGGGCACCACCAATGCTTCCCTGCTTGAGTGTTATTGGTTGTGATTGTTGTCCCAGTGGCCCGTCAATCATGCACTTGAGTTGTTGTTTTAGCAGGCCTTTGTGATTCCCTCATACTACTATTCTATCAAACACCCAAGAGTTTATTACCTCTGTGATCACTGTTATTTTGTTACTTTGTTTTTTATAACTTGGAGACAAATTCACACTGTTTAGCCCTAGCTGGCCTGAAACTTGCTATGTAGATCAGGCTGGCCTTGAACTTGTGGCAATGCTCCTGCCAGTGCCTCCCGAGTGCTGGGATCAGATGCATCATGCCTGTGTTGGTCATTCTTTAATACTGAAGGGAATAATATACAGAGCTTCTGAAAGTACTGAATCATTAACACAAGAATCATTAACTTTAAGCCAATGGTTCTCAACCTGTGGGTTGCGACCCCTTTGTGTGTGTGTGTGTGTGTGTGTGTGTGTGTGTGTGTGTGTGTGTGTGTGTGTGGTCTAATGACCCTTTCACAGGGGTCACCTAAGACCATCTGCATACCATATATTTACATTACAATTCATAACAGTAGCAAAATTATAGTTATGAAGTGACAATGAGAATAATTTTGTGGTTGGGGGGGTCACCACAACATTAGAAACTGTATTAAAGAGTTTCAGCCTTAGGAAGGTTGAGAACTACTGCTTTAAGCAGAGAGAGAGAGAGAGAGAGAGAGAGAGAGAGAGAGAGAGAGAGACAGACAGACAGACAGACAGACAGACAGACACAGAGAGACAGACAGAGAGAGATGAGAGAGACAGAAAGAAAGAGAGACAGAGAGAGAGACAGAGAGAGAATATGTGAATGTTTTGGAGCAGAGTAGACAGCTTTTGTGGACTGTAGCACGTTAAAGTCAGAAAGAAAGTCTGAAAGGGAAAACTAGGGAAAGAATAGTATTGTTTTGGTGATTTTGTTGTTGGAACATTAGTGATCACTGTCATGAAAAGATAGCCCAGACCTTCCTGGTCTGCAATGGTGGTACAAATGTGACAGAATACATTCAGCAAGAGCAGCTCACTTCATTGTTAAGGAGCCAAGAAACACTGCACCAAACTAGGTCTTTGGCCTGTAATCTCTTCATCTCTTGTCTAGGCTCCACGAGGATGGTTTAGGGATGTTTTAGAAAACATAAACCAAAGAATTGGGAGAGCTACAGTGCACAGACACGCTGACTTTGTCTTTGATACTAAGGCGGTGTGTTTGGGACTTTGTGTATGTTGAGAGCTCCTGGAGAACCATTTAGGATTCTTTCTTACCAGGGTTAAACATGGAGGGTAGATTCCTAACTATACTAGGCATTGAGAGGACATTTATGGGTCAGAGTTACATCTGCATCTTGAGCAATAAATAACAGGTTTCAAGCAAAGGCATGTCTGCAAATGAATTACATACAACTTTACACTAGTTGCTGGGCTGAGAGTAGAGTGCAGAGTTGAATGCCCTCCCTCTAAGACGCCAGAGGACACTCTGAGGTTACTAAAGTGCTTGAGACCTTTCTGTTTAAACACTGAGGGCTGCAGGACAGCCAGAGCCCAGGGAAAGGCTCAGAGCAGTGAACAGTCTTCTCTGAAGGAAGGAATACTACAGAGTGAGAATTTTTCAAAGTAAAAATGCAACAATAGCTAATTATCTGTTTGAGAAATTCAGAGCATGCTGAATACACACGATTAACAGTGCCTATAACCAAAATTTTCTATTGAAAAAATATGATTTAGCAAAAATATTTACCTGTGTGGTGACATTCATTTCTTTTTGTTTTTTATTATGTCTTTCTGCTTCAGTATCTGCAACATACAAAGCATTTCTATAAAATTTGAAGACATCAAGAACATTCACAAAATGCAGTTTCTAGTTTAAAAACTTTCTCGGAGTGTTAAAGCTTGCATTGTAACACTTGAGATGCTTTACAGCCCAGAGTTACTAATGAAATGTTAAAATAATCCCTTTGTTGGCAATTTTTAAAGCTGTAATCTACTTCAATGAAGCATTTGGAAACCGACCTAAGATGCATGGAGTCTACAAGTGTTAGCACCAGATACAGTTGTGGAAAGCACTCTGAGCTGTTTGTTTGTTTGTTTGAAGCTGTTTCTAAGTCACAGGGGTGTAGACAGCAAACTAGAGGAAGCCTTTGAGGCAGTGAAAGCAGAGAGTAAAAAAGAATTAAAAAAGGACTTTATTGCAAAGGGAAATAGAAGAAAAGCTTTGGAAACCCACAAAGGCAGCAAAAAGATATGGAAAATAACAGGGAAAAAAATACATAAAACACAAGATGCAGACAAGCAAGAAGCTGAGCACAGCTTCAGCCCCCAGTTCCTCGTGAGGACCCAGAAGCTGCTTCCAAAGGGAAGCCTGATGGAGGCCAGGCCTCCCTTCTCAGGACAGGACAGGCTCCCAGGAACATCAGCTCCAGTGGCCGGTGCAGATGAGACAGGGATCACATCGGTGGATCAGTCAGCAGGAGAAAGGTAACATTTTGTCATAACATACCACTCGAGGGCTGCTGAGCATGGCTTTTTTTTTCCGTTTTACTTGCATACATTAATTATATGTAATGGTAGGTTTCATTGTGACACTTTCACACACACACACACACACACACACACACACACACACACACACACACACGAAGTATTCTGAGCACATTCACATACATCTCTCAACCCTCTCTTGCCCCCCACCCAGTGCTATTGCTCAACCCTTTTTCTTTCCCAACCAGTTCTTCTATTAATGGACCATTGTCCTCTCCCTCTCTCTCCCTTCTTCCTCCTCTCTCCCTCTCTCTTCTGGTCTTTCTTCCTTTCTCCCTCTACCCCCTTTTTCTCCCTCCTCCCCTCTCCCTTCTCCCTTCCTCTTTCTTTCTCCCTCTGCCCCCATTTCTTTATGATCTACTGAGTTTAATTAGGGTGTTTACAGGAGCATGGTTGATTAAGGAGTTATTTACATGAGCTAAAATAGTGCTATGTGATTGAAGACAAGGCCCTTTCATTAGCATTATATCTTTATGGAGGGATGGCATCTCATGATCCCCTCCCTCCTCTGTGACAGAATGTTGATGGGCCAAGTCTTATGCTGATAATCATAGCTTTTCAGAGCTCAACTGTGGCTATTCTTGGTTGTCTACTTGACTACATCTGGAATTAACCTAAAACCCACATACATCTGTGAGGGATTTCTTTTAGTTAGCTAAATTATTTGAAGTTGGAAGACCCACTTCTAATCCAGATCTTTGAAATGGGAAGATATACCTTTAATGCAGATCTTTTGAGGTAGGAGGGCCTACCTTTGTTCTGGGCTGTATCTTTTGCTGGCAGCCAATATAAAGGACATGGAAGAAGGAAGCTTTCTCTTTGCCTGCTTGCTCTCACCGGCAAGTCCATTTTTTCACTGCAATTACAACCTGCTTCCCTGGAATTCTGGTATATACTGAAGACCAGCCGAGAAATCCAGCCTCATGGACTGAACAACTACTGGATTCTTGGACCTTTCATTGATAGACAGCCATAGTTGGACTAGCTGAACATGGCCTGTAAGCCATTTTAATAAATCCCCCATATATAATATAATATAATATTATATATATATATATATATAATCATTCTATAGGTTCTGTTCTTCCTCTAGAAAACCTTGACTAATACAGCAATACTACAAGGCTATGCCATGCTCTGCACCACCTTAAGAGAGAAACTATTCTTAAAATAGTTTTATTTTATAAATTTATTTTATAAATAAAAAAACTATTCTTAAAAACTGAGGTACCCTGAAGACCTGAGACCAGGGAACACTCAGAGGGGGCCTACCACAGCTTCAGAGAGAGAGAAGGCCAAGAAAAAAATGCACTTTTAGCATACAGGAAGGCTGAATATTAATGGGCTGTGTTGTATTTAATTTTTATTTATGGTTTTGTCATTCAGCTTCATACATTTGGATAATTTTGTTAAAACATTTTTCATTTGGGAAAAAATGTTTTTTCTTTGTTTCTTTTTTGATCTCTGTATTTCCTCTTCATGCCCATGTTTATTAGTATTTTAACAATATTGGCTTTAAATTCATAAATAAATTTTTACTAAGTGTGTGTACTAAGTGTGTGTGTGTGTGCGCGCACACACACACACGCACACGTGTGCATGCATATGCACACACACATGTGCCACAATGAACATATGGACTCAGGAAATGTTCAGCTTTCTCTTTTCTACGATGTGAGTCCCAGGATGCTCAAGCTCTGATCATCAGTGCCTTTATTCAATGAACCATCTTGCCAGTCCCAATATCCTTTCCTTTATGTATATTCATTGTACACAATACTGTGTTACATAGGGGTATTTACATCCAATTATATACTATACATTGAATGTATTCCCTCCCTATACCCCACCTTCCCTTTTCTAACCTTGCCTCCTCTATTTAGTCCCTTGTTTCCTTAGACAATTTTGCTTTAATTGGTACTTTAATGCCATATATACATACACATACAATTTTGTGCATTTATATAAAGTCTAGGGACCACATATCAAAGCAAACATACAATGTTTGTCTTCTAGGACTGGCTTATTCACGTAACATGATTACTTTCAGCTACATGCATTTCCTTGAAAACTATATTCACTCTTTTTTGTTGCTGAAAAAACCTTCATTGCACACACACACACACACACACACACACACACACACACAAATTAGAAGGTAGGATCTGCATATGAGAGCAATATGCAGTATTTGTCTTTCTGTGCCTCAGTCACTCTGCTTAGTATGCTGTTTCTAATTTCATAAATTTTCCTGCAAATTATTATTCATTATTCTTTGTGACTGAGTAAAATTACATTGCAATATATATGTATATATAATATATATGTATATATATATATATATATATATATATATATATATATTTCATTATCCATTTATCTTTCGATGAGCATCTAAACTGTTCCATTTCCTTTATGCTATGAATAGGGTAACAATAAACATGGATGTGCAAGTATCTCTGAACTAGAATATAGAATTATTTGGGTATATACCTAGAAGAGGTATATCTGGGTCACATAGTAGTTCTGTTTTTAGTTTTTTGAGACCCTACCAATGAATTCCATAATGGCAGCACCAGTTTACTGTAAATAAGTATTGTTTTTAACTAAATCTAAATCATTCAATTTTACCAATAAAGATTTGGGAGCCAGATGCCGATGTGAAAGCCCAGCTAGCTCAGTTGGTAGCACATGAGACTCTTAAACTCAGGGTCATGGGTTCAGCCCCACATTGGGTGCCAAATATTTTTAGCTAAATCCTAATTATTCAATTTTAGCAATAAAAACTCAGGAGCCAGATGCTGGGATGAAAGTCTACTGGCTTAGAGAGGTAGAGAAACTACCCAGCTGACCTTCTACCTCTGCTGACATCCCAGAAAGAGCTTTCTCCTATGCTGGCTAAAACAAACTCCTCCAACAGGATGTCCCTCCCTTCTACTTCCTGTGCATCTCTCCTCTCCCTACCCCCACCCCCCCAAATCCTCCTGACTTCTTCTTAACACTCTATGGTAGTTTTCCTGTCAACTGGCTGCTTGCTCTTCCTCTTGACCTGTGGTTGATTTTATTTAATCCTGTTTGCAATATTCAAGCAGAAAGGTGTTAGATTAAAGGTATGTACTAGGGCTGAGCAACAGCACAGCTAGAACCACAGGTTCCTCCAGTAAACAATGCAATCTCAGGGGTCACAGTGTGATCAAATCTCCTGCAACAAATAAGGGTTCCCCATTCCTCCCTATATCTTTGCCATCATCTGTTGTCGTTCTGACTGAGGTGAGGTAGAATCTCAAAGTAGTTTGATTTTTCCCGAAAGTCAAGGATGATAATTAAGGATACTCAACTTTTTTTTCCCCCATATGATCGTTGGACATTTGTATTTTATCTTCTGAGAACTGTCTGAACATTTTATCATCCCATTTGTTGATTGGGTTGTTCTTAGATGTTTGAATTCTTTGTATATTCTAGATATTCTATGTCAGAGGAATAGGCAGATAAATTATCTCCTATTCTGCAGACTGTGTCTTCACTTGATTATTTAGCTTATAGCCTTTTCTTTCACAGGTTCTATTTGGCTATTGTTGGTCTTCTCTGAGTGACTAGAGTGTATTAAGAAAGTCCTTCCTGCCCATGAACACACCACCCTGAATATGATTGATTTGGAAGCTAAGCAGGCTTACACCCGATTTGTGCTTAGATGGAACACTGTCCTATGCCTATATCTTGAGTGTTTTTTCTATAATGATTTTAGAGTTTCAGATCTTATATTAAGGTTTTTCATACATTTAGAATAGAATTTAATGCAGGTGAGACATAAGAACCTCAGTTATTCCCTATTTGCTATAATGTTGGCTGAAGGATTGTCATGTATAACCTTTGTTATTTTGACATATGTACTTTCTATTCCCAGTCTTTTCAGGGTTTTTATTGTAAAGGAATATTGGATTTTGTCAAAAGCCTTTTCAGCATCTATTGAAATCACTATGTTATTCTTGTCTTTGAGTCCATTTATATTATATTTACTGATTTGCATATGTTGAACTATCCTTGCATATATGGAATAAAGCCAAGTTGATGATGATGAATGATACTTTTGTTGTGTGCTTAAACTCTGTTTGCAAGCACTTTGGTGAGAATTTTTGCATCTATGTTTATTAGGGATTTGAATTTATATATTTTTGTATGTCTTTATCTGGTTTTTGGATCAGGGCAATAATGATTATAAACAGTTTAATCTTCATAAATTTGTGTATATAGAAAATATAGACTATTTTGTGTATATAGAAGATATAGATACTTTCATTTGCTGTTTGTTTTTAGTTTTATCCTACTATTAGAGAGAAAACAATATATTATTTCAATTTTCTTATATTTCTTAAGCTTTAGTTAGTGTCCTAATATGGAAAGTTCCTTCTGTAGATGTCTCTTCAGTCCATTTGATCTATTATAATTTAATCAAAAAATTTCTCTTTATTTCTGGTTAACAAGACATACTCATCAGTGAGAATCCGATATTTAAATAATCCATTATTATAGTGCTGAGACAAATCTGTGTCTTTATAAATAGTAATGTTCATGAAATTAGGTGCACAAGATTTGGTGGGTATATTTTTAGAACTATAATGTCCTTTCACACATTGTCCTTTCATCCATAGAAAGTAATCTTATTTTTTTAATTAATTTTGTTTGAAGTCAACTTTTTCAATTATTAAAACAATAACACCCATTGTTCTATTTGCTTAGAATACTTTTCTCCATCCTTTCATTCCAAGGTTGTATCTGTTTTTCATGTTAACGGCCATTTCTTGGAGACAACAAATATATAGATCTTGTTTTAAAATCCAGTATGCTGATCTGTTTCATTTGGTTATAGAACTGAGGTCATAAGTATCTAGAATTGTTACCAAAAGGTATATATTAATTCATGTCTTTATTAATTTTGT